CCAGCGCGTCTTCCCCTGGCAGAAACTCAGTTTACAATGTATTCGGATGTTAACAGAATGTTGCTCTTTATACTAATCTGCAGCAGGAAAAAGAACAAGTTTGTATTGGCATTTCGCCGGATTTTTCATGTACGGGAACCAGCCAAACGCCGTTTTCATTCTCAGCGCATATTGAGTTTCTTCAGGAAGGGCCGAGGAGTCGGTAAGCGATTATCGGAATTCGTCTGTGTCACTGGGGCATCTGCCACTGTTAGAAAAGGAATTAGCTGGAGTTGGTTTCAGTGAAATATTTCCACAAAATATTGGAGCGGAGCCAATTTTCAATACTTGATGTAAATTCACCTCTCGTCAGACTGTCATTAGGGCCGAGTTCAACAGGCAGGTTACCTTTTTAAGTTTGTGCACTTTGAGGTAATAATAGCCGTCAAGTGACTTGAGGGCTGTAACTTTTTTGGCACTGAAGTACGTTCGGCCGTCGTGATGAGATTTCACATGATTTATATCCGGCGTTCTGCAAATGTTATTTCAGGTAGTGGTGCCTTTAAACAGCTAAGCAAAAACAATCAGGGCTTGGCAGCGTAATCCCCTAGAGGCTTTAAAACCTCATGTCCTCACTGGTTTTGCGTCTGCTCCTCGTCCCAACTTACAATTTAAACGGCGTCATAGCGGAATATGTGCCCCATCTGTCTGGGTCCAGCCGTGAAAAGGCCGACTGCTGTTCATATATTCGCGTTTGTAGCTGTCGGCCGGTTTCTCCAGCATGTTATTCTGCTCAATAAACACTCGTAGATAGCCGTTGCCACTGAAAAGTTCCCATAGAAGCTTCATATCGTTCCGTTGAACGGCTGCTGTGCCACAGGGAGTTCATGTCCTCCGGTACAGCTTTTGTGTTGCAGTGAGTGGTTTCTATTGGAATTGAGCATTCACAACATGGTATTCGGCTTTCTGGAGATTGGCATTGTCAGTTATCCTTCCGTTTGACGGCGGAACGGAAGTCGTCCTTCACTTCTACTTCCACCGCAAGAAGGTGGATCCGAGAACATCGAGTTTAGTCGGTCTAGAGTTGGTAGTGCCAGGCTACGTCCCAGGCAGAGCGAGGCATATAACAAGAGCTGTGGGCATGAATTTTTAGACTGTGAAGATGGGTAATATAAACCAAAGAATTTCTCTCAGTGAAGGTCTCTTTTATATACCATGTGGAAGCCACGATTTCTTATTATTGAAGTACATATCATCCTGCAGACGGGTTTGCTCGAGCTGTCGGTTTGTTTCTATTCAATTCGACTTCCCATTTTACGGCCTTCTCACAGAGTACTGGGACAAACTCCATCCAACTGACGATTTCACTCACATCTATGTACCACTGTGCGGAAAGACAGTCGATATGCGGTGGCTCTACGAGAGAGGTGTGAATGTTGTGGGCAATGATTTAGCTGAGGAGGCCGCGGTTGAATTCGTGAAGGAACATCCTCAGTTGGCCATGTCTCGGACTGAGGTTACGTTAAAGAATGGCGAACAGACTGTCGTCTACGAGGTAATTCACAATCCCATGCCAACACTGGCAGTTCCGGTGGTTTAATACATTGTTCATGATAATTCAATTAAAGATCTACAATAGGTTATCAGGAAAGCAAAGCTCAAAGTTAGACTATTTGACTGCTGCAAATATTGTAGTGATAAATAATAGTAATGGCTTTTTTCAGATAACACAAGATTGTGTACCTCGGACCTTGCATTTCGTTATTTAGTTCATTACAAAGCCAGAGTAGCAGTTAACTGGCTACAACCCTTTCGGCCAAGCGAGCAGGCTGGTAGTAAATCCAGAGTGCTCCCAGGAACAGTGCGTATGCATGTTTTACAATCGGTAGAAAATGAAAAGGTGAGAAATATGCTGGTCAAGTCTTACTAGGTCACCAACGTACTCACTGACGTGTGTACTTGATTCGATTAGGTCCTGCTTTTGGATACATCAACTTTACAGTTGTCACAGGTAGCGGTGGCCCATTGGGGACGGTTGGAAGAGGCACCTCGCAAATGTCAACCCAGTCATACTTCCAGTGTCGCAAACAGTAAACGGTTACGAAACCCATACGTTCGACGTCTGACTTGGCATTGTTGAGCCACGTCTTCAGTTGACCGCCATGTCGGTATCCTGTCAGGAAACGCTTTAGATGCGTCGAAGACACCAACGGTCGAAGACTTTGAGCTATAGAATGTCTGTATTTCTGACTGGCCATGCTTCGTAAGCATATACCTACTCTGGTGTGACGGATGCTCTGTATATCAACAGCTTGCCAACGTCCAGACAAGTTAAGACTACTGGAATCCATTTCCGTTCGTTGGATAAAAGCATTTAACGAGAGTCTCTGAGCCTTTTAAAGTTAGGGAAACTTCGTTTCTTTTGTCAGGGTTTTCTCCGT